GATGTAGAGGTGCAGGTGAAGAGGAGAACAGCGGCGCTCCGTCAGAGTGTGGAGCGAACAGGCGGAGGAGCAGGAGATGCTGGACTAACACCCTTACAGGAGAGAGCTGCCTCACTTCACTGTCTGCAGTAGTGTGTGTGTGTGTGTGTCAGGGCGGTACAGCAGCACTCCTCCGCTCTTACCAAGCATTCAGCAGCCCAATCTCCCGCTCTACAGCTGACCGAGTGGAGAATGGCCATCGCTGTGTCTGCACTCTTGCTCAGTGTGTGTGTGTGTCTGTGTGTGTGTGTGTGTGTGTGTGTTGTTGAGGGGGTTAACAGCCACGTCTTTAATGGATAACCGCACTCTCCTGATATACAGATATATATATATTTACGCTCAATACAATGAATAATCAAACTAAGCTGGAGTAATATCTGTAAATGCATCACTCAGCAATGCGCCACCCATCATGCACCCTGACACCCTGGAGCTTCATCTCAGCCGTGCTGTCTCTGAGGATGAATGGATCACGGGATGACGCAGACCACCGGCCACAATATCAGTGAAGCGCGTTTGAGCATCACATATTATCTACAGGTTTATTGACACACACACACACACACACACACACACACACACATGCATTCACCTGTGCAAACTCGTCTTCAGATGACGTCTTTATAGCCATGTGTGCAGTCCATCGCTCTGATTAGATCGGGAAAACCGGCGATCGCTGCACATTGTGCTGTAATATTTGTCTGCTAGACATGCGGATGATCCCGACCCGTACAGCTGCCACTGCCCCGAGCGGTCTGCCGGTTTTCTGTCTGCTGGTTTAATCGTATAATATACGGTTTGGACACTATAAAATGAATGGAAATCTGTGTAATGTCCCCACTTTTTACAAAAACAAACGTGTGTGTGCGTGCGTGCGTGCGTGCGCGTGTGTGTGTGTGTGTGTGTGTAGAGCACCTGAACGCTGGTTTCCTGCAGTTCCTGCTGGATGTGATTGAGGACGGGTTGCCCACAGACAGCACTGAGCAGCTGCCGGACCTCTTCATCAACGTGCTGCTGGCCTTCAACCTGCACCTGAGTGGTGGGTAGACACACACACACACACACACACACACACACATACACTCTCTCTCACACACATCTCACTCACATACTAGGACTGTTGTCTCACTCTCTGTAATCGTCAACTGCTGTGTGTGTGTGTGTGTGTGTGTGTGTGTGTGTTTCTGCAGTGCCGGACAGTAATATAGTGATGCAGACGCTGATGAAGAGGGACAACGCCAAGATCCTGAGTGAGAAACTACTGCTGCTGCTCAACAGAGGAGGTAACACACACACACTCACACACTCAGTCACAGACACACACACACACTCACTCACTTATTCACACGCTCATGCATTCATACTCGTGTGTGTTTGTGTGTGTGCATGTGTGTGTGTGTGTGTAGAGGACCCGGTGTGTGTGTTCAGTCACGCTCCTGCAGCTCCTCATGCGGTGGTCAAGTTCCTCCAGGATGTGTTCTCCAGTGCAGACTCCGCTCAGATCTTCTACCGCAGTGACCTGATGGTGCTGATCGACATCACCGTGCGGCAGATCTCAGACCTGGAGCCCGGAGACCGCGTGAGCTAGCATGCTAACACAGTTGTGTCTGTGTGTCTGTGTGTGTGTGTGTGTGTGTGTAACGCTGCTCCGTGTCTCCGCAGATGCGTGCGCAGTATCTCTCCCTCATGCTCTCCGTCATGCGCTGCTCTGAGTACCAGGAGCACCGGCACCGGCTGGCGGACCTGCGGGCGGCGCTGCAGAGGATTCTGGGAGAGGAGGAGAGCGGCGCGGCGGAGCGGAGCATCGTGCTGCAGATCTATGAGGAGTTCCCAGATACCTGCAGCTCCTGAGCACACACTGGTGCTACACACACACACACACACACACACACTCATTCATTCACAGACACACTCACACACACACACTCATTCATTCACAGACACACTCACACACACACTCAGCTGAGCAACCACTAGTGTTAAACACACTCACACACACACACACACACACACACTCAGCTGAGCAACCACTAGTGTTAAACACACTCACACACACACACACACACACACTCCTGTCCAGTGTTAGCCTGACATTAGCATAGTGCGCTAGTCCCCACACCTCATGTTCCTGATCGGCTGATTAATCTGCTGGTTACTGACCCTGATGAGTTTACAGTGTTACTCTGATGATCTGTTGAACACACACACACACACACGCGCCTGACTGAGTGTGTGTGTGTGTGTGTGTTTGTGTGTATGAGTGCTAAATGATCTATTTTTCCTCTTTTGTTCAGACACATAATCTATTTTCATAATGTGCAGAGACTAATAAAGGCCGTGCTGACGCAGCGAGTGTCGCTTCCACCTCATTACACTTTATAATATCACAGAAGGCTGGCTTGCTCCTGATTGGCCGGTTGTGTTGAGGGGCGGGGTCAGACCTGGTAACTGGCGCATTAGTCATTAGCATATTCTCTCAGTGATGCTGTTGTGAGTGTGATTCAGCATTGATCTGAACACTGTGGTGTTGTTCAGGGCTGCGCTCCCCAGCAGTGACGTAACTCGCGGCTGAGCTGTCCCGGTATGATGCATCTGTGTTTGTAATGACGCAACTTGCGGCCTCAGTTGGCTAACGGTGGTTTTGGGAAACGCAGCACTGGACAGAAGCTGAACAATGGCGAACTGTTGATCTTCAGAATATTATGGCGCTGCTCTACAGTGGACCGGCCCTTTATGGCCCATTTCCTCTGAGTGCTGCGGTTCGGTACACTTCTATGGCTGTTTCCACTCTCAAAGGGTACCTGAAGGCGGAGCTAGACGCGCAGCTGAACGCTATTGGTTTACAGAGATAGGTCACTCGCTCGTGGACAAGCCAGAATGAACACAAAGACACCGCCATGTTGTAAACACACAGCCGAGACATTATATACAGTATACATATAATAACCTGCCATGCTCGACCCGAGCTCGGACACACCTTGTCATCATCTTGATGAACAGCCACAAAGCCGAGCAGAAGAGCGGAGTCTGCCCTGTGTCCTGCAGGTGTTTACAAAGCCGGCTGCAGCACGAGCGGTCCCACTTCCTCCAGAGAGCTTGCATGTGCTCGCCGCGCGTCTTTATCTGAGGAAGGAACCTGTGGAGCGGACGATGACTGTGAGCGGGACTATTGAAGAGCTTCTGACGTGCTTTCAGAAACGGACAAACATGAATGAGTCTGTCAGCAGCTACAGACGCACACGCGGCCATGAGGAGCCCTGATCCTCAGCTTCTGGACTATCCTGAGCTGAATGACGGAGTTCAGGCGCTTCCTATTCACTCTGAATGGGTGTCGTCAGGCGTTGCCGAACAGCACTGTGGATCCGTCGGCGCTGCTCGCTACAAGAGTTGGGACTTGCTCAACTTTTCAAGTGCTGACAGAAGCGTCAGCCAATCAGATCGCTTTATGCAAATACCCCAGCTCAGACTGTGGCCTATTGCCGACTAATTTCATTGGCTGAAGCTGCTCTGATGATCGTGTCAGCCCCAACTTCAGACACGCCCTCTGCCAAGCGTTGGCGCTGAAGCCCCGTGTGAATGAGGGAGTGACTCTCCAACAGAGGCTCCATGTGCTGCTGAAGATCACACACACACACACACACAGATGATGCTCTGACTCTGACTCTGGCCTGCATCTCCTGCTGTTCCTGAACTCAAATAAGGACCAGATGTCTGCTGTGTGGAGTTAATCTGTAATTGGTATCATATCGGGGACTGTAAGGGTGTGTGTGTGTGTCATTTATTTATTTATTGTATATCACTGCAGACGTGACAGTAGGCTATTATCATTGATCTGCAGGTAATATGACCGTGATCGTGGTGATGAAAGGTTAGTGATGAACATGTCTACAGTATTGATGTGTGTAAAGCATCTGTCTGTGTGTGTTTGTATGTGTGTGTGTATATGTTTCCCAGAGTTGGGTTGCAGCTGTAAGGGCATCCACTGCGTAAAAACTTTCGGTTCATTCCGCTGTGGCGACCCCGGATTAATGAAGGGGCTAAGCCGACAAGAAAATGAATGAACATTCTTATACATAGATATTTACATTAGATGTCGCATACCCTGATGTTGTCTATTGGAAGGAATACGTCAATAGCGCCGCCATTTTAGTACAGGGTAGCGCTCCTTTGAAATGAATGCGGGACCAAGCAGCGGTGGAGGACTGTGGCCATCCAGAGCCAGAGATATACATATATATCCATGATCGGGAGTTTTCCCAGAGTTCAGTCTGCAGTTTTTTTAGAATTATGAAACCTATAATTTTACATCACTCCTCCATGTTGATGAATGTGATCGCACAGACATTCCTGACAAAAGCTGGTGTTTGTGTGTACAGAAATGTACAATTCACCCTCCCTGTTCAGTGTGATCTAATCCTGTCCTGAACTGTCCTGCTCATACTGTCTGAGGGAGCGACTCGTTTGTGAATGTATCTCCGTTATGAGCGACTCGTTCACTAGCCGACAGTAATAGTGTCTGGCAGTGCAGCATCTCGTCATGTTTCTTTTACAATTTTTGCTGATTTTATTCAACAGCACTAAAGCCCAGTGAGTTGCTGCTGCTTTGCCCTGTGCTGAATGCAGTACAAAAACATAAGAAACTAAATCTTCCCTATGAAGTGTTCTGCCTCTGTGCTTTGTTTTCTATGTCTGCTCGTTACTACACCCGTACGCAGCGCTGAAGTCCAGCATCTTCACGTGTAACACTGAGTCCTGGGAGCACTGTACAAATATGGCGGCGCTATTGACGCATGCTTAGGGTTCCTATGCTATATCTAGTATATATAAATGATTCCTATATAAGAGGTAAACATGACGTCACAGCTGCGCTGCCCCCTCCCGGCGCGCACGTTCACGTCATGCCGCCAGTTCCGCTCGCGCTCGCTCTACGGTGCGTCAGTTTAACAGTTCCGGGTGTGAAT